AAAAGAGACTCGCAGTTGGAATAATCCATTTCTCAATAATATAACATACACAATCTCACATAACTCACCAACATAATGGATCTCACAGAAATTTGTTCGGATGCGAAGCACATTCAATGATCATGTACGAATCTATAAAACTGAATAAATTTGCAAAGCCGTGTGTCTCTTGATGAAGTTGGAAACACGATTAGCTCTCTTAAACAAACATCAATATGAAATTGAAATGACGATCTCTAAACTGCCATATTGTCGGTGCGGAGCTATCTGTCCCTCTGTCTTTTGTCCCTTTCTCATCACTTACACATGCGTTTTAAAAATTTATTTGCCATGATCATAAACCCAGCAAAACGACAACGTTCATTGAGATCAGCAGAATTCTGAAAACAAATAAACAAATGGGCAAACAAGTCCCAACCTTTTTTATTTATTTATTTATAATTTATAAATTTGTTTCCTTAATTTTTTAATTGCCTGTCATTCCTCAATAGCATCCTAGGCCTGCAACTTCCCTATAATATTAAAACCAGTTGAAGCTGACACTCCAACAAATTGCAAGTTGCCTTCCAATTTCCAAACAAGAATAATTTAGGGTTGAAGTTTTAAGCGATGGTTAATCCATGACCTGGCCAAGTTGGTCTTGTTCCAATTTTCCTCCATTGCCTAATTCCTTTGAACAAAACAAGTGGTCCACATGCAAAACTATATCTGCGGCTTTAGGCATATGTCATGAGAAATAATATTCCAAAATGATTTTCAATGGTTCATCATGGAGAGACTGGTAAAAGTTTTTGTTATGTGAGGCCAAAAAGAGAGAGATCCTTTTTTTCTTTTTCTGAGACATCTGTTTTCCTTTTTCACCCAGCGGTGCTCACACGTTGGCGGCCGCTGATTTAGGTGGTGTTGATATTTGAACTTGAAAAGCGGCATATTTTCTAGTCTTTTAATGTGTGTTTGGAGGGGAGAATTTAAGATGAGATTTGAGATTTGAAATAGATTAAAACCGTGAGAATCCTTTGTTTAATTTTTTCATATTCAAAATTATGCCGGGTCTAATGATAGGTGTGTCTCTATACTTAGTTAGAGTAGGTCTTCTTTAAGCTTGACCTCAACTCACAAGGATCATGCATGCATAAGGCTTGTCTTCTTAAAATTGCAGAGAAACGCATCCTCACAACAAATGAGATTTTGACACTTACTAAATTTCAAAAGAAAAAAGAGATCCAAGGAATTCAAAAGAAAAAAAATTTAAAAATTTGACAAGTGTCATTTGTTTTGAGGAGGAGCCTCCTCAGTTTTAAGGAGCCAAACTTTTTTCATAAAATATTTGATCATTTATACTTTTATTTGTTCATCAATAATAACTATCACTAATTCTATAAAATAAAATAATAATAAAAATCTTCAATCTATCTTGGATTTAAAAGTTCCATGTTTAAGTTTTTTCAATTGCTTTTTTTTATTTATATAAATTTAATTTCTTTTTAATGTTTTTTTTATATCTGAAAAAAAAGTTATCCTTAACCAAATCTGAAAGGAAGGACTTTATCGTTTGTTGTCCATTCTTGGGATTTATCCTCCTAGCCGAAAGGTTAGGCTACCTAGGGTCTACATACATATATAATTAGTAAATATAAAGTCTGTTTTGAGAAATTTACAACTGCAAAGCTCACTACCCTAATACTTTTTCTTTGTCAGAATTCTCCACCATAATATACTCTCAGTTAATTGCCTAATATTACGTACATACATGACGGCCGCCTTCTGAATATGCACAGCATTAGCTTAACTAGTTTCTTTCTGTCTTTTTTACCTTTTTTTCCTCTCTCTCTATTAGCCTCTCCACACGCGCTTCTACACCTGCGAGATACTTTTTTTCAAAAAATTTAAATTTATTTTAGAATTAAAAAAGATAATGGGTAGTTGTGTTCAGTAAAAATAGGATCCATTATCTTATTTTTCTTTTAATTTAATTTAATTTTAATATAAAAAAGTGTGAATTTACCATATTATCCTCATTTAATTAATAATTTCAATTCTTAATGTTTGCATTAACCAAGTGCATTTTCTGGCATTTTGAATGTTTCATCATTCTCAGTCTTTTGCTTTATATATACTAGCCTCTTTCCACGCGCTTCTACCCATGCGAGAGGCTTTTTTTTTAAAAAAATTAAATTTATTTTAGAATTAAAAAAGATAATGGTAGTTATGTTACATAAAAATAGGTTTCATTATCTGATTTTTCTTTTAATTTTAATTTTTTTAATATGAAAAAGTGTGAATTTACCATATTATCCTCATTTAATTAATAATTTCAATTCTTAATGTTTGAATTAACTAAGGATACTTTATGGTATTTTGAATGTTTCATCATTCTTTGCCTTTTGCTTTATATATATAGATATATAAAGGTTTTTGAGTAAGTCTGCACTTCTAGGTAGTCTTTTGGGAAACTAAACCAAGTCAAGTTGTTCATAATCTTATTGATGCGTGATTAGTTAATGAATATCAGATCCACTCTATATAAATTTATGCAATTAATATCTGCCTAACCAATTTGGTTGGCATGATTTTCCTTCCAAAGTTGCAATTCCAAGTTCATGATTCAAGACTATTTGCTGGAAATAATACAATAAGGAATTAATTAAAACCTTTTTTTTTTTTTACATTTAAAGAGGAGAGAATCGAACTTGGAACATCTTCTAATGTACAACCTGAATGATGAAATATGGGCCATGGTATTGAACATTGCTAGGAAAGAAAAAGTAAATATGCCAAAAGAATGTATTTGATGTGTTTGACAATAATTTTACAAACAGAAACTAGAAAGTAAGCTTGTAACAAGAAAATTGGTACATAGTGAGGGGACGTTAATGGATAGCGAGTACAAAGTTGGTTGCAGGAAATTCGCATGACATTCCAAATTTTCATGATCAGCTAGCAGATTCAGTCTTCTTTTCACAATATTCAATTCAAGCATGTGCGCTTAGCAATGATGAACATGCCCTAAGACCATAGCATCTGGGGTCCATACCTCAAAAGTGTGTCACGCTTGTACCAAAAAATATTATTCATATGCATTGTAAATTTATAGAGCATGCTACATAATATGTTGTGTTATTAGATTGTTAATATGCATAACGTAATGTCATATTAATATCAAAGATGACAATATCCATATTTTCATTCTCAATATTCAACGTCATTGTTTCACACCACTAGCAAATTGAACCATTTTCCTAATTTGAAACAAAAACATTCATTAGAAGAATTCCAATTGAAAACCCTAGCTCTCCCTCTCTCCCAAAAAACATTGTAGAGCCTTTTTCACTTTGAGGGGGGAGGAAGCCAATGTTCTTCCTCCCCTCTCCCCTTCTCCCTTTCTCCCTTCTCTCTTCCTCCCTTGTTTTCAGAGACAGAAGGTTCCCCTATATTTGTCTTTCTTTTGCTATGATTTTCCTTCACTCATCACAGGCGGATGTGTCTCGCCATCAAATCTCCATCTGCATTTCGGTGTCAGATCTCTATCGTCATCTTTTTTGCGGTTTCTTCATGTTTGGAATAAGTCATAGAGACTCTTTGAGTTTTGTGTAGTTCTCAACCTATTATTTTGTGAGAGTTTTTCACCTCTGTTTTGTGAGAGCTTTCCACATCTGTTTTGTGAGAGTTTTATTTGTATTGTTATAGCTTGGTTTTTTTTAAGCTTTATCTCTTTTTTGTTGTTCTGAGTTTGCAATCTTAGTTGAGATGCCTATGCTAGATTTTCTTCGATCATGCTTGATCGTTAGTGGAGAAGTCCAGATTGTCTTAATTTTGATATCAAATCACTCCGTTATTGTAATATCCTTTGTGCCTAGTGCCTTTTTTAGTTGAATTATGAATGCAATCGCATAATTTCTCAACAAAAAAAAAAGAAAAAAAAAAATGGTTTAGATTGATAGGCAAGATTCCTCTATGATATTAATAGGTGTAATTAACACAATGATGATAACATCATAACCTAATAGCTGCATAATTAATACCTGCATGTTCTAATCAAAATGACCTATCTCTTTCTGCTTTTCCTTTCATTTATAAGCCTTAGTTTCAAAGTCTAATCATAGCTAGTTCTTTTGGTCTAAAACCTTTCATGCCATTTAATAATCCATACCAGTACTTAGGAAGAGACAGGAGGAACTGCTCACCCATAAATAGGGGTTCATGTGATGGGGTTCCTATTAACTTAATGTTCCTAATTCCTCTTCCCAACCAGCAACCACATGATATTCTGCATAAGCTGAGCTTATTTAAAAAGTCACCCTTTCCTTTGTTTAGTTTTAAAATTTTAGTCAATAAGAAATAGAAAAGAAAATAATAAAGGAAACTTTTAATTATAGGTGTGTTGGGAGCAGGAGTTGGTTGGTCTCCAGACTAAATTTATTTTGTGGGTCAACATTCACTATCATAATCATCCCACTGCATGCCCATATCATCTTTAATAATTAAAAAAAAATGGAAAAAATAAACTGGGAAATATATTCCCTCACATATATATCCACCAAGATATGATCAATTTCTGATCTCCAAAATTGACTGTCATCACCACTTGACTTTCTTTGCATACATATTTTTCACACAAAAATATTTTCTTACTAGAAATTTTTTCATTGAAATTTTTTATTTTAATTGTTGATGCTTTTCCAAATATCTGAAAGGTAAGATAAGGTGTATAGTTGTCTACATAGTCATAATTGGTTGTGAGAAAATTGAAAAGGTAATTAATCTATGAATTAGGCAACATGAAAATCTAGTTACCTGTCTTTTGCCCTTTTTCTCACATCTTATATTTAATTCACAAAACCTAATGTAAGGAATTAAAAGCAGCCATGATCCTGTCACAAATAGTGATGGTAACAGACCAGGTCCAACTCCTTTGTTAGCCTTTCCTTTATTTTTCTTTTTATTTTTTTATGTCTGATATGAACTGGCAAAGGAGATAAAGAAGGCAAGCATGAAGGTTTCTGTAAGGTGAGACAATGAAGAGAGAATCATATTAAATTCATATCCTTTCTTGCCTTCTCATTCTCAACCTCTAAAACTTTCCCATTTAGAAAATCTGAAGAAACAAAAACAGTTCAAAAGCCTTCATAATCTCATTCATTTCTTAGAAGAAGCCAAGCCAAAAACCAGACAGATCCATTTCTCCAAACCCTGTAGATCTCTCTCTCTCTCTCTCTTCTCAAAAGTAGTGCCTGCTGCAGGTTTTTGTTTTCGCTCAGAGAATTATATTATTTACACAATGAGAGACAAAATTTCTTGTTTTAGTGAAAATGCAGTAAATGTTTCTCATCCTTCATGTTCTAGCTATGCAAACACCGCTTGTGTTTCTCCAAAGTTAACTCCTTCTGTCCAAAATGCGGTCTCATGTGTCTACAAAATCACTCTCTCCACTAAAAAGCAGTTCTTGGTCACAGTCTCCTGGTGCAAAAACCACTATGCACAGGGCTTAACCATTAAGTTTGGTGATGATCCAACAGCATGCTTCAAATTGAACATGAATTCGCGTCTGTTCCGGAAGAAGAAAGGCACCAAAGTCCTCGAATCGGATAATTCGAAGATGGAAATCTTTTGGGATCTGTCCAAAGCTAAGTATGATACTAGTGGTCCTGAGCCAGTTGATGGTTTTTATATCCTGGTCATGGTTGACTCAGAAATAGGCCTAATTCTAGGTGACATGGCTGAAGAAGCTTTAGCCAAGAAGTTCAAGACTAGTGCAACCCCTGTTGCTAAGGTTTCTTTGGTTTCAAGGCAAGAGCATTGTTCAGGAAATGACATTTATTCCACCAAGGCTCAATTCAGTGACACAGGCATTGTACATGACATTTTGATCAGATGCAGTGGAGAAAATGATGGCTTAAAGCATCCGGTTTTATCAGTTTCCATCGACAAAAAGACGGTCATTCGCGTAAAGAGGCTGCAGTGGAATTTTAGAGGCAATCAGACAATTTTTTTAGATGGGTTGCTGGTTGATCTGATGTGGGATGTTCATAACTGGTTCTTCAATCCTTCATCAAGGTATGCAGTGTTCATGTTCAGAACAAGAAGTGGAATGGATAGCAGGCTGTGGTTGGAAGAGAAGTTGGTTCAGAAGGAGCAGGACAGAGTTGAATTCTCCTTGTTGATCTATGCCTGTAAGAGCTCATAATGAAATTTGGTCATTACATTTTTAATTTTTTTGGGGTTAATTCTTGAAATTTATGCTTGTTATTACTATTTTTCTAAACTTCCTTTCAAAAGAGGAATAGATACTAATTCATTTTGATCATTGTCTCAGGAATATGATTGTAGATAGATAGATAAATTTGACATGTTTTGATCTCTCTCTCTCTCTCTCTCTCTCTCTCTCTCTCAATAATACTGGTGATCAGTTTTGCAAATTAGAATAGAGTATTGCAGAGTGTTAGCAAATGAGTTAGAATAGAGGGGTGACTGTAGAAGGTTCAAATAATTGGAAAGGCAAAGGAAAAAGATACTAAGAGATATCAATTAAAATTTGATGAATGGGGAAGTGGGAATTTTGAGTATCAATTATCATTGCTTTTAGGTTTGTAAGGATCAAATCAAATAAAGTTGAGAATCCCCCCAATTATGTTCAGCCTCATTTGACAAGTACATCTTATAAAACACGGAAAAAAGTTGATTGATTGGAATATATTGTTTTGTAGGATTATGCAAGATTACTGCTTGCTTTTATTGTTCATTTAGAAGAAAAATTGCCAACGAGAATCTAACCCAATGTAAAAGGGCATTAACTTATAGAGAAGTGCTTTTAGATTTGAACCCCCATAGCATATTGGTAGTGTATATGTGAGAAACCCTCAATTCCTTGTAGGTTAGACTATCGCTTGTGTTTTTAAAAAAAAAATTAAAGAAAATTAATTTCCCTTCTTTTTCGAGATTTAATGAATGAAAACAAAAACAGGATCCTTTTTTCTAGTATTTAATTTTTAATTTATCATGTCATACTTTCCCCACCTTGGCCTTGACTTGTCAGGGAAAATCCTACTGATCCTTTAGTGCAAGAAGCCAGCTCATTCACACGCTTATTCACAAGCCAAGAAAAAGATTGATCTCCATCAGGCTTGGCTTGATATAGATTGTGATTGTGAAGTAACCATTTGAGTTGGGCAAACAAAACAGTTCAACGACAAATCTTGTTTTTGTTTCTCAATGATTGACAACAACATTTCAATTAAAATTAGTTATCATAGAGATAGCAAAAGTCTTTGGGATAAGTTGTTCATCTGACTCAAAGCTTGACAAAACAAATATCCCAATAGGATTTAAAACAAATCCTCAAATGATTATTCGGTAATTGTGATAGTTAGTCGGCATTTTGTTGGAGGAGATTATAAATTTAAATTTACTCGATGATAGTTGTCTCCACTTTATTAGATGAGGTTTTGAATTCAAATCGCGTGACGAAAGCACAGCAAGCACACCTGATATAAAATTCAGACCAAAAGAAATACCAAAACATTAAGTAATATAAGAATGGGCAAGTCGATTTTGAAATGGTTACCAGGATAAGACCAAAACTCCAAACGTATGAAAACAAAATATTCGGATGGCGTCCCTTCATCTTAGACCCACAGCCAGTACAAATACATGGTCCCCCTGTCTTAAAACAATTGTTTGGTCCACTAGCAGAATCCAGTGATTGTATGTCTTCCCAAAGCACCATAAAAAGAGTCCCTCTTGGGGAAGATGACCTACAGTACAGACTAGAGGCGATGAATTGTGATAGCATCAGTCACGTGTGAACGCGTGACAATAATGTCAGCCGTTAATTTCAACGAACCAGATTAACGTACCGCAGCTATATTGAACTTCAAATGTAATTTTTTCCCAGAAAGAAAATATGTGAAGTGTGGCATACAAGTACACTACTATAATCTAATACATCAGGAAAGAACCCAATAAAGTAATAAGCAGCCAGGCTGCCTAGCTAGATGGCAGGGTGTGTACGCGTGTGCGTGTGTATGCAGAGTATTGGTGAGGGCGGTTGTTGGATGGGAGCTGCTTTTCATTGAATTCTAAAGCCAATCATGCCCTGACAAAGTTTGTAGACTCTCATGATAAAGTTGCAATTGTATTCATGGAGAGCATCTCCAATCTAACATAAATTTGCAACTGCATTAAGGTTAATGTTGGGCCCTCTACAAAAACAGGATTACTGTACTCCTTTAACTATTATGGTATCATCAATAAGAGTTGGAATTTGAAATCTCTTTTATAGTTAGGCTATTTCCAATGCGAAAGGGGCTAAATTCAAATTTTCATCGTTCAAAATACGACTATTCATGTATTGTCTGGACTCAAATTTGTTTTTTCCCCAATCCTCCGGACTCAAATTTTGAATCCATAGCCTTATTAAATTGTTTAAAAATAATTTAACTCTAATGGGTCCACAAAACTAACTTTGTACATGGGAAAATGGGTTGTGTGAGTGGGCTCCACCAAATTTCAGTCTAGACAAAATGTGAACTGCTATTCCACCCAAGATATTGACTGGATTGATATTTTGCCTGACCCTATACATGTGTTGGGGGCTCCATCTAGACTATATTGCCAAAATTTGACATTTGGCCCTCTCAATTAGAGATGCCTTAGGGAATAAAATCATCACTAGATGAAGCAGTAGTTAATTTATAGACTAACAACATTCACATCATTGAGGTTTTTGTAATAGATGAACTTCATTTCAAGATTTGGAAGAAACCCTCTCTCAATGTTAGTTGCAAAACTTAGAAATCTTGAGTTTTTGATTTTTTTCTTTTTTGTTTGATTTCATTGTCCAATCCTTGGTATTGGAACGACAGCCTTGGAATAGGTGCCAAGGTTTGAGTGCGAAATATATTTTTTCTTTCTTTCTAGAAATGCTCTTCACGTGGACAATTTGGATTAGGTTGTCAAGATATGTGATGGGCCTCACATCTGCCACGTCAGCATTTAACGTTTGACCAGAAGGTCAATTTAACAGTTTGTGTAAATTGGTTAGATTTTGAAATGTTGGGTATCAAATTGATGAAATTGAAACCTCTAGGCCCATTTTGATACGCACGCTAAATACAATATAAGGTACTCTACAATATATATAAGTGTGAGTGGATCAACTACTAGTACAAGCTATGCATTTTGTGATAAAAGAAGAAATACTTTTCTTTGTTAGAAAATCCATTTGCTGATTTGCATCAAAACATTAAGGATATAAGAAGGGTTGTTACGATATGGGTCCTTGCAACTTTTATATCGTAATCAAAACTTTTTCATCTCCTTCGTCCGATACATTATATTATTATTGGGGGCCATTTTATTTATATTATTTATCAAATTAATATTATGGCTTTTGCTAAAATAGACTTCAATCATTTTGACTTTTAGATGAGCATTATGAGCTCTTCAAATTGTAACGAGACAAGAGATGACTGCTTTTTACATGTGGAAAAGTTACCAACTTCCCATACTGCTTCCTTTATGGCCGGCAATATTTCACAAAGAAGAAAGACCAAAATGCTAAAAGATATATAATATGATGGGAGTTTTACTAAAACACCCAAAATGGGGGTTGAAATTATAAAAAAACCCAAGCACTATTTAAACATATAAACACACCAAAAACCCATCATTACACACACTCAAAACCCATTTATAAACACACCCAAAAAGTTGACTTTGGGGTTGATTTTGGGTGTGTTTCTATATTTAAATAGTACTTGGGTTTTTTTATAAATACATGTCTAGGATTGAGTTTATTTATAAATTTGTATAATAGGATTCCTTACAAAATTATTTGAGGGATTTCTTTTCTTGATTTTCTAGCATTTAGATCAAGCGAATTTTCTATAAGTGATGAGTTTTAGCTTGATTTCATGTTAAACGTATTAGTTAATTTCATGCTTTTTGACCTGAACATTATCAAAGAACAAAAAATCATGTCACCTAAACACAAGACAACAAATGCAACAACAAAAAAAGGAAAAAAAAACACAAAGCAACTCAATTGTCATCCCTAGCTACATATCTACGACTGAATAATTCACTGCAGTTATTGTTGAAAAAATTCTAAAAAACTCTGATTTTCATGGAGTTTGATCGTGATGAAGATCTGAAAATGTTATATTTTAGAATGACAAACTAGCAGCCCACCAAGTAGTGGAATCACGAATTATGTATTGTATTTAATTTTGTCGAGTTTTTGAGGTGGGACTTTACATCATTCTACACGCCTCTCGGCATAGGATCACTATAAAAACTAAAGTCAATTTTGAAAAATATATTTGTTTTGAACTGTGATTCTGCCTCACGACCTAACTACAAATATGATCCAGGAGCAAACTTTTCTTGAGTGTTGTATGAAAGACAAAGTTTTCTCTTCTTTGAGGACCACATTATTTTGGATTTCTTGCATGCGCCGTTTGCCTTGTGATAGACTTATTATTATTATTTAGGTGCATATAAAAAGATTTTAAATGCAAATAAACACATCTGAGTCCAACTTTAACCACCCACACATTTTATTTGAACAAAATAAATAAAAATATTCAAGAAAATTAAACCTAGCGTCAATACCATTTTAAATCCACAAGCCGATGGTGTTTGATCTTGTGACCAAATTAATAACTCACTGCTGAAATGTAGGTCCATTCCGTCTTCATATATTAATGTTGGATGGATCACATTTCCTACCGCAATGATATACTTTAGAAGATATTTTTAAATTTTTGTTATTCAAGTGACATATCGTGAATAACATGACCATATTTAATTATTAAAGATAGATAAAGCTTTGAATAGAACTCAAAGTAACGAATAAAACACTACCACATCAATTGGAAACTCCAAACGTACATTCGTTTCGTAGCAATTTCATAATCAAAGTGCAATACAAAATTCAGAGAAAATAAAGAACGTAGTCCCACAAAGGGTTCTTGCAAACAATAAAATGAGATACAAATAATAAATACAACCACTGCAAGACAATAAGCAAAATAAATTCAACATCTTAAACAACCAACTCACCAAGAAATTGAAAGATATCATCACTATATATGATTAGCAGACTCAAGAATGAGTTCCAGCTATTGCGCATGTCGAATACCATTATGCGTTTACCAAATATTTCATTTCCCTGCGTCATCTTGACCATATATTTTTTTTTTCTTCAATCTTGCTCTTATTTCTCTGTTCAAGCTTTTCTCCTTTTAGTCTTTACCTACCATTTCTTAATCAAAACCTAATTGCCAACCGAATTTGACCCTACACTAACTGATTCATCTTGTCTCCGTTCATCTTAATTTG